CAGAGAAAGGTCGAGAAGATGCTATGTATTAAAATATTCTGGGTAAGTTGAGTGGTGGCTACTGGGCATATACCCAAAGGGAAAGAAATCAGTATGTTACAGAGATAGCTGCACTGCAGTATTCATTCATGATGGCCAAGGTGTGGAACTGACATAAGTGTTCATCAGTAGATGAAAGGATAAAGAAAATCTGACCTACATATGCATGTACATATATATGTACATACATATGTGCTTATATGTATCAACATACATACACTATTCAATCACTTAAAAGAATGAAGTTCTGGAGTGGCCCTATAGCACAGTAGTTAAGCACTGTGCACAGAAAAGCCAGATCGCTCAAGTCAATTCCATAGCATAGAGGTTAAGGGAGTCCAATCCCACATGGCTGACACCTGTTCAAAATCTAAGCCCCTGTGACTAGAAAAGCATGCCAGTGTGTGTGTGTGTGAGTGCCCCAAATCCCGTCAGGATGGAGAAACTGAGAAGGGGTTGCAGCCTGACCATTCCCCCTTGTAGGGGTTGAGGGTGGCCAGGGGATGTTTTGTCCCTCTCTCTCTTTGGCACATGCATTCTCTGGAAATTAAGAAAATAAAAGCTGGATCCCACGTGACTAACTGTGGCTCGAATCCTGGCACCTACAGCTTCCAAAACACACTGATCATGTGTGCATGCATGTCCCAAATCCTGACAGGGTGGAGAAATGGAGGAAAAAGGATAGTGGCATGACCATACCCCATGGGGGGTGTGTGTGTGTGTTCTTTTCCACCCACCCTGCAACAAGAGCACACTGCCTCTAGGGGGAAGGAAAAAAATAAAATTATGCCATTTGAGGCAACATGGACAAGCCTGGAGGACAATAAGCCAGATACAAAAAGAGGAATATTGCATGTTCTCATTCATTCGTAAAAATAAAACAAGACAAATGAAAAGTGACTTCACGGAAGGAGAGCAGAATGGTCATTACCTGAGTATGGGAAGGAGAGAGGGGATGGGGGATAGAGGGATGCTGGTTAACAGATACAAAATTACAGTGAGTAAGAGGAACAAGTTCTGCATTGTATACTACAGCAGGGCAACCATAGTTAACAATAGCTTTTCAAAGTTAATTTATTTATTTTCTTAGAAAGAGAAAGGGACCAACCCCAACAGGGTTCTGAAGCCATACTCCATCCCCAGCCTTCGCCCAGTCCTCTGTCATGGCCAAGAGTGTGTCTGGCATACTCAGGGAGGACTCAAGACCTGAGCTGGGAACCTCCCCATGTGGAATTGTCTTGAAAAGTGTCTTGAAAAATTTTACCACTGCACCACCATTGTGTCCCATATGGTTAATAGTAACATATGGTATATATCAGAGTAGCTAAAAGAGAGAATTTGAATGCCCCCAACATGAACTAATGACAAATGTGAGATGATGGATATGCTAATTATCTTTATTTGATCATTACACATTATATTAATATTCATATACTGAAAAATTGCACTGTGCCCCATAAATATCTATGATTATTATGGGTCAATTAAAAATTTCTCCTAAATTAAAAAGAAATAATTGAATGGTGATTTCATGAGTGTTCATAATAAAACTTTGTATTATGTATCATATTATACATATTAGAACATATGTAATATATGTTACTATATATGTTAGAATATATCATATGTTTCATATATTATTTGAATAAATTCATTTTTATTTAATAGAGTGCTCTACAGAATAATCTTTCCTCAGGACCAGCAGTTAGCATAATGGCTATGTCGCTGGACTCCCATGTAGTCAATCATGGTTCGAGTCTTGGACCTGGTGGCTTAAACTCACGCCGGGCATGTGTGCGTGCGTGCCCAAGGTCCCGAGAGGAGAATGAAGGAGTAGGGATTGCGGTGTGGCCATCCCCCCAAGCGGTGATTTCTCACTTTCTGTCTCTCTGTCTCTCTCTGTCTTTCTGGCAAGCACACGTGCCCTATAGCAAAAAACTCTCCAAAAAACAAAAAAAAAGAATAATCTTTCCTCATGTTCGTGTTGGAAAGTAGGGCAGAAAGCCTATCTTGTAATAACATGGATTAGAACATGCCACTTTTATAGAATGACTTCTGTTTTTTATTTCCAGAATGTGCATGTGTTCATCAAAGAGAGAAAGGGAAAGGAATAAATCATTCCCAATGGGGCATGATCATGCCAAAAATCTCTTCTTCACCATTTCTTCATCCTGTCAGGATTTGGGGCCCGCATGCACACATCCCAGTGTGTTTTCAAGCCATCAAGGCCAGGATTTGAGCTGCGGGATCCAGCTCCCGTAACCACTAGGCGACCTGGGCTGGCCCCAGATAAATGGAGTTCTATGTTACTTGTGTATTTACAAGTAATCTTTCTAAGTTTTAGCAACCACTTTATCCTTTATTTATTATAATATCAAAAGTTAAAAACCGGGAGTGTTCTGTAAGAAAATGTTTCCCACAGCACCACTCCCACTAGACAGCCCCACAACCAAGCTCTCCAGTGTGAGGAGAAAGTGCCCCCAAAGCCTTCGCACCCCTTCACGAGCCCTTTCAGGGACCAAGGCCACTCACGCTGGCAATGGCTCCTTGCAGGAAAAGCTCTGGTAGCCAACAACTGTCAAAAGTGCCATTTGGGGGAACCAGCAGTTAGTGTAATGGCTATGTCGCTGGACTCCCCTGTAGTCGACTGCGGTTCACGTCCCGGACCAGGTGGCTTAAAACTCACGCCGGGTGCGTGTGTGTGCGTGCCCAAGATCCCGAGAGGAGAATGGAGGAGAAGGGATTGCGGCGTGACCATTCCCCCTGGGGGGTGATTTCTCGCTTTCTGTCTCTGTCTCTTTCTGTCTGTCTGGCAAGCGCACGCACCCTATAGCAAAAACTTCTCAAAAACAAGACAAATGAAAAGTGACTTCACGGAAGGAGAGCAGAATGGTCATTACCTGAGTATGGGAAGGAGAGAGGGGATGGGGGATAGAGGGATGCTGGTTAACAGATACAAAATTACAGTGAGTAAGAGGAACAAGTTCTGCATTGTATACTACAGCAGGGCAACCATAGTTAACAATAGCTTTTCAAAGTTAATTTATTTATTTTCTTAGAAAGAGAAAGGGACCAACCCCAACAGGGTTCTGAAGCCATACTCCATCCCCAGCCTTCGCCCAGTCCTCTGTCATGGCCAAGAGTGTGTCTGGCATACTCAGGGAGGACTCAAGACCTGAGCTGGGAACCTCCCCATGTGGAATTGTCTTGAAAAGTGTCTTGAAAAATTTTACCACTGCACCACCATTGTGTCCCATATGGTTAATAGTAACATATGGTATATATCAGAGTAGCTAAAAGAGAGAATTTGAATGCCCCCAACATGAACTAATGACAAATGTGAGATGATGGATATGCTAATTATCTTTATTTGATCATTACACATTATATTAATATTCATATACTGAAAAATTGCACTGTGCCCCATAAATATCTATGATTATTATGGGTCAATTAAAAATTTCTCCTAAATTAAAAAGAAATAATTGAATGGTGATTTCATGAGTGTTCATAATAAAACTTTGTATTATGTATCATATTATACATATTAGAACATATGTAATATATGTTACTATATATGTTAGAATATATCATATGTTTCATATATTATTTGAATAAATTCATTTTTATTTAATAGAGTGCTCTACAGAATAATCTTTCCTCAGGACCAGCAGTTAGCATAATGGCTATGTCGCTGGACTCCCATGTAGTCAATCATGGTTCGAGTCTTGGACCTGGTGGCTTAAACTCACGCCGGGCATGTGTGCGTGCGTGCCCAAGGTCCCGAGAGGAGAATGAAGGAGTAGGGATTGCGGTGTGGCCATCCCCCCAAGCGGTGATTTCTCACTTTCTGTCTCTCTGTCTCTCTCTGTCTTTCTGGCAAGCACACGTGCCCTATAGCAAAAAACTCTCCAAAAAACAAAAAAAAAGAATAATCTTTCCTCATGTTCGTGTTGGAAAGTAGGGCAGAAAGCCTATCTTGTAATAACATGGATTAGAACATGCCACTTTTATAGAATGACTTCTGTTTTTTATTTCCAGAATGTGCATGTGTTCATCAAAGAGAGAAAGGGAAAGGAATAAATCATTCCCAATGGGGCATGATCATGCCAAAAATCTCTTCTTCACCATTTCTTCATCCTGTCAGGATTTGGGGCCCGCATGCACACATCCCAGTGTGTTTTCAAGCCATCAAGGCCAGGATTTGAGCTGCGGGATCCAGCTCCCGTAACCACTAGGCGACCTGGGCTGGCCCCAGATAAATGGAGTTCTATGTTACTTGTGTATTTACAAGTAATCTTTCTAAGTTTTAGCAACCACTTTATCCTTTATTTATTATAATATCAAAAGTTAAAAACCGGGAGTGTTCTGTAAGAAAATGTTTCCCACAGCACCACTCCCACTAGACAGCCCCACAACCAAGCTCTCCAGTGTGAGGAGAAAGTGCCCCCAAAGCCTTCGCACCCCTTCACGAGCCCTTTCAGGGACCAAGGCCACTCACGCTGGCAATGGCTCCTTGCAGGAAAAGCTCTGGTAGCCAACAACTGTCAAAAGTGCCATTTGGGGGAACCAGCAGTTAGTGTAATGGCTATGTCGCTGGACTCCCCTGTAGTCGACTGCGGTTCACGTCCCGGACCAGGTGGCTTAAAACTCACGCCGGGTGCGTGTGTGTGCGTGCCCAAGATCCCGAGAGGAGAATGGAGGAGAAGGGATTGCGGCGTGACCATTCCCCCTGGGGGGTGATTTCTCGCTTTCTGTCTCTGTCTCTTTCTGTCTGTCTGGCAAGCGCACGCACCCTATAGCAAAAACTTCTCAAAAAAAAAAAAAAAAAAGTGCCATTTGGCTCAAAAGAACCACGTGAATGTTACCCTTTTCCTTGACGATTTTGAGAGCTAAGGATTTTGGAGTTTGTATCTGCCACACCAACAGGAGAAAAAAAGGCAACGCCCCAAGTTTCATACCTGTCGAAAACGACGGCGGAGTAAGCCCTCTCAGCAAAGATGACATCCGCAGCCCAGAACTCCTTGGTGGCCTTCAGACCCCGGCCTTTGCCCTCAGAAGTGAAGACCTCCACGTTCTCCATTGTCCCGACTGTCATGGCAGAGTCCGTCAGGCCGGCAGGCAGCTATTCCCCACTGGGCCAGGTCTCTTGTCATTGCAGCTATTTCAGCACCTTCAACATCCCAAAGAGCAAGTCTATAAATAGACAAGCCACCCCCCCTTCCCTACTCCCTCTCAGTCACTGGGCCCTCCCCGCCCCCTCCACCACTTTTCCTGGAGGCGGGGACAGGACAGACAAGAGGACAGTGATCTGGGGAGGGTCTCATTCAACACCCAGGGAAGCTGACAGAGCCAAAAATGACCATGGCTAGTGTGGTTCTGGGGTCATGTCTGAAAGGTTTTGAAAAGCTCCTTCGTGAGAAGAAACTGTGTGGGCTAAGTTCAGGACTCTGCGTTCGACTTTAGTTGGAATAGGGAGCACTTGGTCAGTAGGGTATTTTTAGCAGCCAGATGCCCCTGTCAATCAAAAGCAGACAGCTGGAAGGGTCCAAGAGAAGCGCCAAGGTGATAGCTGCTGCTCTGAGACCCTTCAGCTGTCAGGCTTGCACTTTCTCAAGTGGGATGGGCCCCTGGCTCCCCTCCTCAGCTCTCCTCCATGAGGGGACTGCTTGCAGGGAGCAGCAGAAGCTACATAGAACCCTTTTGCATCTACATAGCAGTAGTATTTAGGCTCCAAGGGATGTCTTTCCTCTCCAACATCTCCTGGGGCCCCCACAACACCCCCACTCCAAGGCATGGAGGTCTGAGAGTTTCCTATTCTTAGCATCACGGGTGATGCAGGCTGCATCCAGAGAAGCATACTTTAAAAATTTAAAAAAAAAAAAAAAAATTTAAAAACACCCCCCACCCCAGCCAACAGGTGGCACGGAGGTTAAGTCAGTTGTATCCCCACATCACTGACTACATGGTTCAAGTCCTGGATCCAGTGACTTGAAAAATATGCCAGGTGCATGTGCGTGTGTACACAAAACCCTAAGAAGAGGATGAAGGAGAAGGGATTGCTACATGGTCATTTCCCCTGGAGGGGCGATTACTCAGTTTCCCTCTCTCTCTGTCTTTCTGGCAAGCGCACGCACCGTATAGCAAACAAAAAAAAAATCATGGCCTGGAGCTTCACAGACCTTTGCAGTCATGTTTCCGTGGATGAGCCCTTTTCTGCTCTAAGAAGATGGAGGCTTTCCCCATTGTTAAGATTTTTAAAAGCATTCACATGCCTGAATAGAAAAGGGTGATGAGGGGCCAGACAGTGACACTGAGGTTAAGGCAGCTGGATCCCACATGGCCGACCCCACTGTTTGAGTCCCAGACCCAGTGACTTGAAAAATATGCCGGATGCATGTGTGTACATGCCCAAAATCCCAAGAGAAGATGGAATTGAAGAAACTGTGGCATGGTTATGCCCCTGGGGAGTGATTTCCCTTTGTCTCTGTCTCTCTTCTTCTATCTCTCTCCAGTCTAACTATTTCAGCTGGACCTCTCCCTGACGCCCTTACACACATGGAAAGAACATTGCTATGGCTACCCAGCACTGCCACACCCTAAAAGGGAGGAAGAAGACAGGAGACCAAGGCTGCAGAATACGCTAAGCAGAGGTAATACCGCGTCTCTGATCACGCATCTCAAGGGTACAGGCAGGTGAGGTGAAGCAGCCAGGAGTGGGCGCTGTTTGGGGAGAGCTCTTAGTGTGTTATCACAGGACTAGACGTGGGCTTTAAGCATCCTCTTAATATAAGAAGGGGCTCTACTTGTTAAGCCGCCTGTGGATAGAATCAGTTCTAAGATGCCACATTGCAGTCCTTAAATTTTTAACCATATCCCACATCCTTTTCCCCCTACATTTATTTATTTATGGGGTGTGTGTGTGTGTGTGTGTGTGTGTGTGTGTGTGTATGAGAGAGAGAGAGAGAGAACACTCCCAACAGGATTGCCACACTGCAATCCACTCAGCCTTTAGCCAGCCCTGGATCATGGGCACACTGTGCCTGGTATACTCAGGAAGTTCTCTGGATTTGAACCAGCAACCTTCCCATGTAAGAGCACATCACAGAGAGTCATGTTTTACCACAGTGCCACCATCTGGCCTCCTGTCCTAAGCCTTTGAGAGAATAACCTCAGAGGCTTTGAGAGTGATTTTGTTTCAATTTATGGAATATTTACAAATACATGTGGAGACATAAATCTAACTGATATGGCTTGCAATAAGTTTTGAATCACTAGGACAGCTTATTAATACTGTACCCACTAACCTACCCTACTCTGGGAAAACTATCATCTCCTGTTCAAAAACCCACTGAGCCACACGCCTGCAGACATCACCCTCTAGTGGCAGATTGAGGGAGCTGCAAAGCAGTAAACCTCTCCCAAGGCCCGCTTCAGTTGAACAACACTTAGTCATGGATTTGACTTCCTTCATACCTGGTGCTAAAGTTTGTTGAGGCCAGGGGTCAACAAGTTTCCTTAAGACCTATGAACTAAAAATGGTTTGTACTTTAATGGTGGGGGCAGACGAGAATCAAAAGATTTTGAACAAGTGAGTATTTTGAGCAAATGAAAATGACATGAAATTCAGTCCTCAGTGACCATAAAATGTTGGTAGAAAACAGCCATATTCAGTCCCAGCTGCGGTGGTGTGTGCTGCTAAGATACTGTGTCCTGCAGGCTGGGACACATAATAAGCCCAGTCTAGGCTTCTGGTCTAACCTAAAGATCAGGCATACTGCATGCTCGAATTGGGGAGACTGAGGCAGGAGGATTGTGAGCTCAAAGCTGGCCCCTACTGGTAGACCCTGTCTTCATAAAGAGCCAAGTATGGCTATGCACGCCTGAGTCCCAGCTGCAAGGCTCAGGCAGAAGAATCCTGACAGCAAGACTCTGTCTTTAAAAAAATAAAAAAAATAAAAAAAAATGGGCAAGGCCAGCAAGCGGCACAGTGGTTAAGGCACTGGATTCCCACAGCGTCAACTGCAATTCAAGTCCCAGACCTGGTAGCTTGGAAATCATGCTGGGCACACATGTGTGTGTACCCAAAATGCCAAGAGGAGAATAAAGAAGGGATTGCAGCATGGCCATACCCCCAGGGGATGATTTCTCACTTTCCCTCTCACTGTTTCTCTCTGGCAAGTGAATGGTGCCCTATAGCAAAAACTTAAAATAAAAAAAAATAAAATAAATTTAAAAAAGAGTGAGGAAGGGAAGAGGACAGCCACGCTCACGTGTTATGTATTTTCTATGGCTGCTTTCACACTACGAAAGTAGAACTAAATGTGACAGAGAACATACAGCCTCCAAAGTCAAAAATATTTACTGTCTGGTCCTCTACAGGAAACATTTACCAACCCCTACTTAAACTAATAAGAGCTTAATGCCCGGCAATGTTAAACAGGTCAGGGAGCTCCCTGCTTGGGTGAGCACCCACTGGTTGACTCATTCATTCATTTAGTAATCACCATGAGGAACACATCAAAGCAAACATTCTTGTGCATGCCTAGCACTCATATTCCAGAAGGAGAGGTGCATATTCCTCAATGGTCCATTATATCCTGCATAATTACATCAACGGCCAACCTTCACATTCTCTCTGGTCCCTGTGTTTTTGCTAAAATACCCTCTTGCTGCCTCAATTTACCTCAGGTTCCAAGAAATCCTTAGCTACAAATTGTTTCCCTTCCAAGAATTTCTAAATTCACTCATTTCCACGTGGATTTCTCAGCACAGGTATGAGGTATTACGTTTAAGCTCACAGATACAAAGATGAATAACATGGGAGCTCTCTCTTCAAGACTTTACCCATTTAAACGGGATTATGAAAGCGCATGTAAAGATGGTCAGAGATAGGCAAAGAGGAAAATGTGTCCAAAGCAGCCTGAGGAACAGAGAGGCTTCAGAGGAGTGGCAAATGAAGCTAAATAAGGAAGGGGAGAATCAGCTGTAGGAGACCATTCCAGGCCCAAGGGCACAGCAGCACGAGCAAAGACTTAGAGGTGAAGAAACAACATGGCAGAGCCCGCCATAGTCTAGTGGGTAGGGGAGCCAGATCCCACATGGTTGGCACCATTCAAATCCCAACCCCAGCAGTCTGGAAAACACGCAGGTCACATGTACACGCATGCTCCACTGGGGAGTTCTCTCTCTCTCTCTCTCTCCCTCTCTCTCCCTACCTCTCTCTCTGATGAGCACATACACATTCTGGAATTTAAAAAAGAAAGGAACACCATGGCAGACACAGACAGCTACAACCGGTTGAGTATTATGAGAGTGACGCGAGCACAAGCATTGTCTTTCTCTTTACCATTCTGGTACCAGACTCTTGCCTTCTCTGGCCCAGTGTTTCCCTTACTGCACATTTAAAAGCTATTCTAACAGCAACAACTGCTTGAATGCTTGAAATTATTCTTGACATGCCAACCCTGTAGCCTAGTGGTGAAGGGAAGCTAGGTCAACCACATGGTCAACTATGCTTCGATCCTCAGCTTGAAAATCAAACTATGTCCTGATCCTCAGCTTGAAAATCAAAATCTCAACAGGGGGACCAGCAGTTAGCATAATGGCTATGTCGCTGGACTCCCACATAGTCGACCGCGGTTAGCGTCCCGGACCCGGTGGCTTAAAATTCATGCCAGGCGCGTGTGCGCGCATGCCCAAGATCCCGAGAGGAGAATGGAGGAGAAGGAATTGCAGCGTGGCCATCCCCTCTGGGGGGGTGATTTCTCGCTTTCTGTCTGTCTCTGTCTGTCTGGCGAACGCACTCGCCCTATAACGAAAAACCTCTCAAAAAGAAAAAAAAAATCTCAACAGGATGGAGAAGAAAAAAAGAGATTGCAGTGTAACCATGCCCACTGGGGGGATTCTCTCTCTCTCTCTCAAGCACATATACCCTACAGCAATTAAAAATAATTGCTCTTTGCTTGCGTGATCTCATGTATATTCACAGCACCTTTAGAGGTAGATATCATTACTATTTTGAAGATGAAAAAATGGAGATTCAGAAAAGTAAGAAATATGCTAAGATGTCCAAGTTAAGAAGCAGCAACATCAGACCAGCACATGATATGATGGGGCTGGACTCACACATGGC